CCAAAAAGAAGTGTATGCAATGATATTTATCCAAAAGTTTATTGTGCTGCAAAGAATCATGGTAGGGCATTTTTAGGGGGAAAAAGGAATTATTCTTGTAAATGTAAAATAATTTTTTTTAGGCTTAATCTCTCTTTGCACCCTTGAAATGGTGCATTTACGCACCTTGCACCATTGAAACATAATAATAGTACTTTGCGCCCTCCAAACACAATAAACCATTCACAATGCACCGTAAATTGAATAATAAACGCAATTTCATTTGTTATTGGTTTTTTTTTTTCGGAATACAAAGTAAAAACTTAAATTGTTAATTTATTCAACCTCCAACCTAATTTTGAGCGCACAAAGTACGAAAAAAAAACATACCGGATTATTAAAAATAATTTTATCGTCATACAAAATAAAATAAAATAAACTTTTGTTCGTAAATTATTCGGTTGATGGATCTTTTATTGCAAGTGGTGGAAATATCAAGTAAAAATATTTGGAATGAATATGAATTTCATATAACTTGATGAAGAAATAGCTGAATGATTTTTTTTTCGTAAAATATATATTTTGTGATAAAAGATATAATTTCTAAATATGTTGATGAGATGTATTTTTATTCTTCCACTTTATAATTTCAGAATAATTGATGAATACAAAAAGAGGATTTGACATTTGTCATTCTAAAAAAATACCACTAAAAATATTAAATTACATTTATTAGCTTTAAAATTTTATTTGGGGTGCATTATGCATGATTTATTGTGTTTCGAGGGTGCATAGTGCCATTAATTTGTTTCAAGGGTGCAAAGTGCCAAAATTGTATATTTCAAGGGTGCAAAGTGGAATTAAGCCATTTTTTTGTTGTAGAAGTACTTGATGAAGTAAATGAATAAGAAAAAGTCTTTGTTGTTCTGACTTCTGTATAAGTAACTCCACTAATTGGTCAAAGAAAACATTATGAAATTGTTGGGTAAAATGATTAATTTATCAGTACCTTGTTGTTCTCTTGCGAGAACGTCATATGAAGAAGTTATATTTTCCGATTCAGCAGCTTCCTCATTTGCTGGAAAATATAATTAGAGATAAATTAGAACTTGTGGAAGATTAATGGTACGATACATGGGAAATAAATATTATTTTTAATGCTCTTTTTAGTTTAACCATGGCTTTGTAAAATAATTAGGTGTAAAAGAAGTGTATGGAATGGTATTGATTCAAAACTTTATTTTGTTGCAAAGAATCATGGTAGGTAATTTTGAGGGAAAAAAATGAATTATACTTATAAAAAAAGAAACATCATTTTTATTTCATTTATTAATGTAAATGTAAAAAGAACATTTCTTTTTTGTTGTAGAAGTACTTGATAAAGTAAATGATTAAGCGAACCTCTTTGTTGTTCTGTATATGAACTGATTATAGTATTCGACGTCTGGGCTCCTATTTTTGGTATATTTTAGTGCCACCCTGTATCACCTTTTGAAAAGAGAAGGGGATATTGCATCGGATCATGACAATCGTAATAATGTTTGATTCTATGCTTATGGCCTGACCGTGCATGAACAACAATATCTCGTTCAGCTGGTATATGAGGATCATTTCCTTCAACCCAAATAGTTGCTACTTGATTCGCAGTTGGAGAACTGTAAACACGCTGGTCTAATCGCACATCTTTCGAGATATGAAGTTGAACATTATCCATAGAAGGATAATCCTTTAATGTTCTGAATAATCTTGCATATGGATTTACCTCCATAATTTTCATAACTTTGTTGATTATAGGTTCAGATAGTTCCGAATTATCTAGAATCTTTAACCGATTCTCAATCTCTTTTTCGGTTTCACAAAATATA